CCATAACACCTCAGCAATGCCACAGGCTGATTGCCTCCATGCCACGCCGCATTGATGCAGTAATCCGTGCAAAAGGATTCCCAACCAAGTACTGAGTGCATTAATGGACATTTTCAAATGTTTGATTGTGTTTTGCTGTTATAAATCTTTTTTTTTTACTTGGTCTGAGGAACTATTCTAATTTTTTGAGATAGGATTTTTGAGTTTTCTTAAGCTGTATGCCATAATCAGCAATATTAAAATAATAAAAGGCTTGCAATATTTCAGTTGATTTGTAATGAATCCAGAATGTATGACATTTTTGTTTTTTTAAATTGCATTACAGAAAATAAAGAACTTTATCACAATATTCTAATTTTCTGAGACAGTCCTGTATATAAAGGTTTCTATGCAACGCGAGAGTGTTGCATTCATGGTCTGTACTAGTGTAGGAATTTGGCCACGTGAGGCTGGGCCACTCGGGAGTTGGTTCTGGGCCGCATCTGGCCCGCGGGCCGCCATTTGAATAGGCCTGATATAGGGGAAAGATCATTCACGAAGACTCTATACAGTATTACACTGCAAACCCATCTACTCCTTGTGATTTGTTGTTCTTTAGTTTAGCAATGGATTCTTGCATTTCCTCTTCTCTGATAGACTCTGCTAATTTAGATGCTTCGTCATTTGTCAGTTTTTTGATTTTGAGGGGTTTTAAGAAATCACAAATTATTTATTTCTTAAATTCCTGAATTTGCTCTTTATACAAATATGCCTAATATTTTGCAAAATAATCTGATATTTTCTTAGGGTCTGTTTCTGTCTGGTTTGTTTCGGGATTTCTAATTTTAGAGATTATGCGGCTGGACTGGGCTTTCCTAAATTGAAATGCCAATAATCTACTAGCCTTATTTCTCATTTCATAATATTTTCTATCTATGAACCTGAGGGCTCCCTCTGCTTTGTATGTTAATGCTTCATCCAGTTTCATTCTAGCTTCCTTTAACTTTTTAAGTACTTCCTCTTTTCTAGATTGCTTATGTTCCCTCTTTAACCTTTGAATTTCTGTTTCCAATTCTTGTTGTTTCGCAAGTCTTTGCTTCTTTAATCTATAACCTAAAATTTTAACCCTAATTGTAGCCTTACTCGCATCCCATAGCACCGAAGGAGAGACAGTACCATTATCGTTCAAGGCAAAGTATTCGGATAGAGACAATTTGATTTCTACTGGTTATCTGCCAGTAGGGACGTTGAATCTCCAGTACTTAAAACATTTATCTAGCCCTAAATTAATTTTTATAGAGACAGGACTGTGGTCTGAAATTGTGATTGGTTCAATTACGCTATCTTTTATTCGGTATGTGTCCTTTTTTAATACAAAAAAAGTTATCTATTCTCAAGTAACTTCCATGAACGTGGGACATGAACGTGAAGTCTCTGTCGCTTGGATGCAAATTATGCCAGATGTCGACTAATCCCAACTCCCTCATCATGTTAACCACATTTCTGTACATTTTAGGTAGGGGTCTCATCGTTAAAGGTAATCTATCCATTTCGTTGTTCAGTATAAAATTGAAGTCCCCCCTATGATTATTATTCCCTCTCCATTATCTGCCAGTAGGGCTGCAATCTTTAAAAAAAATGTGGGCATTCTTCATTTGGTGCATAGACATTTAAGATAGTTATTTTTAGACCTGCTATCGTTCCAATCACCATAACATAACGACCCTCAATGTCCTGTAAGACTTTCTAATTGTTGTAGTATACTGATTTGTTAAATAAGATGGCCACTCCCCTTTTTTTCTGTTCCCACATGATGCACTATAGACCTGGTTAACCCACTCTCTCTTTAACTTTAAGTGCTCTATTTCGGTTAGGTAAGTTTCCTGAATCAGAGCTACAGAACATTCCAGCTTCTTTAATTGTCCCAAGATCTTTTTCCTCTTAATCGGATTTTTAATTCCCCATATATTGTAGCTAACAACATGTAGATAAGCCATAATCTCTGCACTGCATTAGAATAGATAGCCCTACCTTCTTAAAGACATCTGTCCAAGAAAAACCTTGCTTAAATCGCGGAAATAAACATTGTGGACCATAACATATGTCAGAAGAAAAGTAAAAATTACACTAATTAAAGCTGCAAGCAGCATTGAACGGGTCTTAGACGCTCCGCAAGATGTTTTCCGCACGTCGAGGTGTCACGTAGGTGTCTCGAGGACTCGGCCGTTGGCAAACGTGGGAAATTTCAGGCCGATCGGAAAATGTCTTTTAGTGCCTGCTCTCTAGCAGGCACTAGATAGGTGAGTACCACCTATCCCCAGGATAGAAAAAAGTACCAATTTCGATTGGCTGGGCAAATTGCAAACCACGCCCCGTAGAACTCTGAAAAGTTTTGTGAAGCCGCCATTGTATTTGCTGGCATTAGCATTAGCCCCGCGCACCAACGGAGAGAGAATAACTTATGGCAACACAAAAAAAAACATGGGAGCGGTGGAGTGATGAGGAGGTGTCGGCTGGAGTCCCAGCAGCTTCTACTGAAGCCAGTCCCCAACTCTGGGGACTTCCGGCCGGGAACTTCGGGTGGCAGTATACGCCGTGAACTGGTTTGCGGCCTGCCAGTAAACCCAAAGCAGAAGAAGAAGTGACGTCAGCGGCTTAATTTGCGTAATCTTCCCACAGGGAACTTATTCCGGTGTGAACTGGTGCCGTTTGGACCATTTGCAGAGGAGTTATGACAACACCGTGTTTCGTGGTGAGGGATATGTTGCCATGGAAACGGCATATGATGACACCCCATAATTGACATAGAGCTGTTGAGGGCCGGACCATTAGCCATCATCTGAAGTCTGGTGCTGTTTTGACCATTTGCATTGGAGTTATGACAACATCGTGTTTTTTGGGGAGGGATGCGTTGCCATGGCAACGGCATATGATGAAACCCCATAATAACCTGTTCACCTGTGTAATGTTCCAAAAATGAGTCTTTTCAGCATTCCTCAACTTTCGCAGTCTTTTGTTGCCTCAGTCCCAGCTTTTTTGAAAGGCATCAAATTAAACATGAGTGAATATTTGCAAACAAAATAAAGTTTATCGGTTCTAACATTACATATCTTGTCTTTTTAGTGTATACAATTGAATATAGGTCGAAAAGACTTAGCAAATCATTGTGTTTTGATTTACGTTTTACACAAAATCCCAACTTCCTTGAAATTTGGGTCTGTGCATTCATGCAAAATCACTGTGAAATATTTGATGGTGTTCCTATTTCAGGAGGTGGGAAACCGTTACGGCAACTTCTCGCTGGCAACCATGTTCCCTCGGCGGGAGTTCACCAGCGAAGACCTGAATAAGACTTTTCTAGAGCTGGAGCTTACTCCAAGTGCGTCCATCGTGCTTCTGCCAGTGAGTACGCTCAGTGATGATCCACACAGTACGCTCGGAACAGTCACTCTGATGTTGCACTGCTTTTAAAGGCATGATTCAACATTTGGGAAATGATCTGATGTGTGTGTGGGTATCAGTGTCTCTGTGTGTGAAGTGCAGAGCTCCAGTTAGAATGGGGTTCTCTCAGCCTCTGTTAAACCTGTTTGTACTATATGTTGCAGCAGTCAGGCAGGCCTGCTAACACGGTGCTGCAGTCCTCAGGGGGCGGTGTCTGGGCCCTCCTGTGCACAATCCTCTACCCAGTGCTAGCTTTTGGGAGATTCCTCAGCTCCTTCCTGTTTGCAACCCCGCCCCCTCCAGGAGCAGCACAGAGAGGCCCCGGCCCCCAGCCCAGCTCTTATTCTGCCGCTGCAGCAGCCTCTGACAGGTGAGCCAGTCACTGCTTCATTTCACACAGATATAAACGTATATGTACGATACAAAATGCCCCAAGCCATTCAGAGAACATGTTGTTTAAAGTGTGTGTGTGTGTGTGTGTGTGTGTGTGTGTGTGTGTGTGTGTGTGTGTGTGTGTGTGTGTGTGTGTGTGTGTGTGTGTGTGTGTGTGTGTGTGTGTGTGTCAGAGAAACTCTCCCCAATCACACTGCAGAGAAGCGGCCCAAGAACTTCAGGAAAGATGGTAAGATCTGCAGGCTGAGGAACCAGGAGGACAGCGAGGACGAGAACAACACCTGGAACGGGAACTCCACCCAGCAGATGTAGCGCAGCAGCGGTTTGACTTCTTTAAATGTTGCTTTTGCACTTGGGGCTGATCTTTCTGTGCTCTCCCTGTGTCCCAGGCCTATGCCCTGACCCCCCAATAATAATCATCAGCAGAGTGTTTTTGTGTTGATGGTGTCTCCTAACCCGGCTCAAGCTACAGCAGCCCCTTCCGGTTGTGAAAAGCGAACAAACCAGAACATGTGAACTGAGCGAGCTTTCACATTATGTCATGGAGTCGAATGAAGACATGCTTATTTCAGATGTATAACATATTTCCTCATTCAGCCTGCAAAAAATAAAATGAAAGCATTCTGTTTTCCAATGATCCATTCAATTGTGTCTTGGTTTTTTTGTTAACAAGGTTAAAGATTTTTATTTTACACGTGTGAACTTATCCAGGTCAACATGATGTCATCATCCAAACCTGTTGATTATTTGAACAGTTTGAGCTTATAGCTGTGTCCCAATTCAGCGGCCGCATCCTCCTGAGGATGCAATCGGAGACCGCATACATCACTTCCGCCAAACGAAGGCTGTCCCAATTCAAAAAAAAGACAAGACTCCTCCGAATGCTGGCCGCAAATGCAGCCTTCTTTCCCCAGATTTAGAGGATACATCTGATGTACACTCCGCGGTGTACCATATCCCAGGATGCAACGGGTGACGGTGACGAATGAGTTTTAAAAAAATATATGGCTTGTAACGTCCCATCAACGGCTACAACGGTTTCAGCTGGATTCGTTTTTAAATGTACTCATCCAAATAGTAAACGACATGAAAGAAAAGTAAACCTATTTAATTTGTGTATTTAAATATACGGGCAATTGGAGATGTCTTCTTTATATTACATACATAAAATAATATGAAGTGAAAATATTTCTAAACCCTGTTTGGTTTTCATATTGTTGGGATTCATTAT